ATTTCAAAAAACTGAAAGTACTTACGCAAAAACAATGACGATAAAATCCAGCCAGTTCCATGGGTCACGAAGGAAAGTGAATTGTCCTACACAAAAGCCTCTTGCTAGGATTTTTACAAGTGATTCAAAAGTATATATTCCAGTAAAAGTGTACCTAAGCACAAGAATTCATTGAGATATTAGGTGTGAAAATAATACAGCACCGTGTAAATCCTTATAATTTATCTTCTCTGATTAACCAAAGGAAGTCATTTGTTGGAGGCTGGCTGCTGGATTACGGACCCACTAATTAGAACAAATTACAAGAGATCTTTCCTGAAAATATTAAAATGTAGATATCAGAAACACTCCCAGAAAGTAGAGGTACTTAAAATAATGAAGTATATAGATTCTGGATGTCCTTGGAAAATTCCTGCATTGGCAGTATCAAAAAATACACCCAAGAATAAGATATATGCAACATATTTAGAATAGAATGGGACATCTGATAAGTTCATTTTGCTAGAAACACTTTGGTATCTAGCTATTCTAGTCTACTCTTGGTAGGCTAATATGATAGAGAACAAAAAATAGAAAGAAAAGCAACTATATAATATAGGAAGAAAAAAGGATACAAATTAGAATATCAAAACTATATTAAAATGTATTTATACCCACTTACTCTACGTTTTTTGTCCAATCTGGAGGGCTACTCATGGTCATAAATATGCAGTTTGTCAGAATAGTGCACATGATCAGCATGCTGAATAAGGTAGCTTAGAATCAAGGAAATGATATGAGATTATTTGTTAAAATGCTAACAACTTTTTCTTAAGAAAAATTCCAAATGACCTTTTAGGTCACTTTTTTTTGCCTCTTTGTATATGACAGTAATAAATAAAAGTAATGTATCCTAAAATGCAAATACTGTCATTCTCTCATTCTTTTCTAAAACACACCAAATTATTTTAAAATTGATATATGAAAACCAGAGTCTTTCAAGGTGCAAAAACACTAAAATCTATATTTGAGTAACATAGCAAAATCTACACCTTAAAATACTATTGGAAGTAATCATTTTGAAAAGGATATGAGTGTACTAAAATCTTAATAGATATTCTTCTTAGAGGACTGAAAGGAGATAGCATGTACAAAGCAGGTGTGGCGTTAAAACGGAAGATTGCTTTACCTTTGTTCAATACTATGAATGTCTGAAGCAGGAAAAAGAAAACAGGATGAGATTGAGAATCCAATATTTCAATTTCACACATCAATATCAGATGTTTACCTTTCTATATGGTTGTCATTGTTTGCTGTTGTTTTTACTTATTTGTTGAGACAGAGTCTAACTCTGTCACTCAGGGTAGAGTGCAGTGCTAAGATCCCAACTCTCCATAGCCTCGACCTCCTGGACCTCCGAGTAGCTGGGACATGTGCCAATACATCTAGCACTTTTTTTTTTTTTTTTGGTAAAGATGAGGTCTCACTATGTTTCCCAGGCTGATCTTGGACTCCTGGGCTCAAGCTACTCTCCTGCCCTTCCTTGTGCTCCCAAGTGCTAGGATTACATGCATGAGCCACCACACCTAGGTGGTAGTGTTGTAATAAACACTGCCATCAGACTCAAGCAATGTGGTTCTGATGCCCTCAAAGCAGCAATCAGTGTGAGTTTGGCCAATGACTCCAAGGCCATTTCTTCTCAGTAAATTAAGAATTGAGCTATTTATGAGCCCATATTGCTTAGAACTTCCAAATACTTTCTTTTTTTCATATACCTTCAATAGTAATGATGACTGTGATGATCAACATTAGCTTAAAATACAACTTTCTTCTTTTCCATTACACTACATTTTAAGCAAGCCAAATAGAAACTAGGTATCTCTGATTTTTTAACCAAAACAGCTTGATAATTTTAATACTTACCAACAGTTGCCATAATTAGTAGCAAATGTTCCAAAGTACAAATTCTCTCAAAAGTATTTTCACAAATTAAAAGAATGTCAGAGATGGAACAGCAAAAACATGGAACAAACCCTACTGCCCACTGAAACTGGACTGGATAAAGAAAACATGGTACATATATACACAATGGAATATTATGCAGCCATAAAGAAGAACAAAATCATGGACTTCACAGCAAAGTGGATGGAGTTGGAAACTATCATACTAAGGTATCTATTACAGAAACAAAGAATTTAATACCGTTTGTTCTCACTCATAAGTGGGCCCTGAACATTAGTCACACTAGCACAAGGGAAGGATCGACAGTTGCTTGGCACTTCTAGGAGGGAGGGGTGGAAAAGAGTGGGGGACACACACAAAACAAAGGGTACCTGGCTCACTATCAGGAGGAGTGGTGGCCACCTAGAAGTCCAAACTTCACCTGCATGCAGCCTACTTCTGTAGTTAATCCTCATGTGTACCCTACATCTTGATAATAAAATAAAATTTAAAAAATAAAAAGAAAAGAAAGAAAAACAGGCTGGTTGTGGTGGCTCCAACTGGCAACCTAGCCATTTGGGAGAATAAGACAAGAGTATCATTTGAGACCAGGAGTTTGAGACCAGCCTGGCAACAACAAAGAGGGACACGGCTCTCTAAAAAAAGAATTAGCTGGGTGGTGGCCCCAACTATTCACGATCCTGAGGCTGAAGGATCTGTTGAGTCCAAGAATTTGTGGTTGAAATGAGCCATGATTGCCCCTGAACTCTAGCCAGGACAACAAAGTGAGACCTTGTCTCAAAAAAAAAAATAAAAAAAAAAGAAAGAAAGAAAGAAAAAGAAAAAGAAAAAAGAAAAGAAGAGAAAAACAAGTAAACAGCTGCAGCCACAAAATAGTAAAATAATCTAATGGCTTAGATATCAGAAAGACCAAGTCACCCTGTCTTATTTTTCTGCAATTGGCAGGCAAATTACTTGTGTTATCTAGAAGACAATGACTTAGTCTTTTTGTTGTTGTTTTGTTTAACTCAAGTTTTGTATGTTTATAAGTGGACATCTGGCAATAAACTTTTCTCACCAAATTAGGGAGATAAATTTGTGAATCTGACTTTTTATTTGTGTGTGGTAGTATTCTCTCAAGAAAACAAACTGCAACCTATTATTTTCAGATGCCCTATTTGTAAGGTAAATGAAACCAGACCAGGCGAAACGGCAACAAAGGAGCCAAGAAAAACTTATTAGCGCAATCCCGGGCTAAGTTCACTGGTCCATGTAGCTGTGGGCCGGAGAAGTCGTGCCCAGCAAGATGGGTGACGGGTTTATAAAGGGCACTGGTTGGGACAGCTGTCACATCTGCTGGCGATTGGCTGAATGGGATTGCTAGAGTCACTGTAACAGGTACTGGCTGGCTTTGTGGCTGGAGTCTTAGTTCCAGTCACTCATTTTTGCTGGTCCACTTTCGCCCATTGTTCTCCTGGTCTGGGTTGGAACCCTCTTGTTGAGGCCCGCCCCGCCCTCTGGTGCCTCCGGCCTTACACTATTATTTTTCTATTTTCTTTCACTATACCAGTTATGTCTGAATACAGTTCAACATAAAATACAGTTTTACACTGAAAATTAACTTTAAAATTAGTACCTGGTCCTTGAGTACAACTATCTCTTGTCTTAAATCTCAGTATATTGTGTTTTTTGAAATTCATTCATCAATTCTTTCTACAGTTGTATAATGAGCAACTATGTCATAAAAGTTAATGAAAGGAGTTTGACATTAATGAAAGGAGTTTGAACATAAATAAGGCATAAGTTTTTCATTCAAGGAACTTCCTAAAAAAATAACAAGCACACAAAACTCCTAAGGCAGGATGTACAGATATCATATAGAGAAATACAAATGGAGTAGAATAATAGTTAACAAGGAACAAAACCACATGTCTGTTAGAATTATCATGAAGGTTTAATGAACAGGGGATCATCTGAGTTAACATAAATATCACAGCATTATCACCACTTGATCTTGGCAAGACCTTTTACTTGAAATGATAACACACACAAAAAAAATTAGCTTGGCATTTTAAAATTTAAATTAGCAATTTTCATTTGCACTAAAAACTAGGAAGGAATTTGGGGGTTTATATAGACACAGGAGTTAATTATTAGTATGAAAGATAAGTATGATTATAATATCTGAGGGATCAGTGTGTCATGATACCAAAAAGGCAGAACACTATACTAAACACTTTTAAAAGATTTTAAAAAATCAAAAGTAGTATGCCAGTGTCAGACCAGCTTTTATTAAAAAATTAGAAAAAGCACATACTCGTTGGGCTCGGTGGCTCAGCCTGTAATCCCAGCACTCTGGGAGGCCGAGGTGAGTGGAATGCCAGAGCCCACAGGCTCAAGACCAGCCTGGGCAACTTGGCAAGGCCTCGTCGCTAAAGTAAATCAAAAATTAGCGGAGCGTGGTAGCTACTTCCAAGTAGTTCCAGCTACTTGGATGGTTGAGGCAGAAGGATCGCTAGAGTCCAAGTAGGTTGATGCTGGGATGGCTGTGAGTGTGCCACGGCACTCCAGCCTGGGCAACGGAGTGAGACTCCAACTTAAAAAAAAAAAAAAAGAAAGAAAAAGCACATACTGTATTCTGAATATCCTACCTATGTACTTAATATAACATTCATGGTGTGGTCATTCACAAAATTCCACTAATCTGATTGTGAAATATCTTTCATATAGAAGGAAGCCAATAGAAACCCACCACCAAAGTCAAAACCAACTCACTTTTTTGTCTGCGTAGTAAGGGTCCAGGTCTTCCAGGGGCTCTGACACCATGCCTGGAGGAATGTCTCCATAGATGAAGGGCAACTGCTTGCCAGCTTCCAAGTCACTGCTTGGCTTTGGACCTTCATCATCATCATCTTTCTTTTCTTCTTTGGGTTCCTTTGTTTTTCCTTCAGCAATGCGTTGCTCAATGAGGGTAAGAGACTGTTTGGTGAAGCAGACAAAGCTCTGAGGTCCTGGGGGAGGCAACAGTGCCATCTTTTCATCCTGTATATTTTATTTCCCCTTCAACTCCTTACATAAGAGGCCTGGGTGGAAACAAAGAAGGAAAGACTTAAATGTTTGCCTTCTGAATATTTAAATATTATTTAAATAAGTATTAAGTACTCGAATATTTAAATAGGCATTAAATGTAACATTTAAACATTAAGTACTTGATATTTAAATATTAAATATAATATTTACATATTTTTATTTAAAATATAGTAATAACACATAAAGCAGATTTTTAGTTTCACCTACAAAAGGTAATATGCTTATAAAATTATTATCAATTTGTAAGTGACTACTAGTGTCAGGACAGGACTTATTTTCCATACCTTCTAAACATCTTTATATTTAAAAATTTGAACTTACTATTTCACAGCTTTAATGTAAAAAAGAAATATAATTTCCTGATTAAATTTTTCTAAATTTCTTTCCATTTTTATTTGTATTCACCTTTGATGCAATTCAACTCAACTTTCTCTTAAATGTCTTTATGATATTGCTCCTGGTAGCACTACTCTCCAACCTGCTGCACTTTATCAACTAAGTTTATGTAATATTTTAAAAATTTTGTGTTGTCATTTCAACAATGTTCATAGCATCTTCACCAGTAGTAGGTGAAGTACTTTCTTTGCTCATCTGTAAGAAGCAACTCCTCATCCATTCAAGCTTTATCATGAGATTGCAGCAATTCAGTCACATCTTCAGGTCCCAATCTAATTCCAGTTATGTTGTTATTTCCACCATATCTGCAGTTACTTTCGCCTCAGGAGTCTTTAATCCCTCACAGTCAAAATGGGAGTTAAAATCATCTCCTTCAATCTTCTAATAATGTTGATATTTTGACCACCTGCCATGAATCATGAATGTTCTTAATGGCATCTAGAATGGTAAACCCTTTCCAGAAGGTTTTCAATTTACTTCACCCAGATCCATCAGAAGAATCACCATTTATGGCAGCTGTAGTCTTACAAAATGTATTTCTTTTTCTTTTCTTTTTCTTTTTTTTTTTTTTTGAGTTGGAGTCTCACTCTATCACCCAGGCTGGAGGGCAGTGGCACGCTCCTGGCCACCACAGCCTCGAACTGCTGGGTTCCAGCAATCCTTCCACCTCAGCCTTCCAAGTAGCTAGAACTACAGACACACACTACCATGCTCCACTAATTTTTTATTTATTGTAAAGACGAGCTCTTGCCAAGTTGCGGGGGGGGGGGGGTCTCGAACCCACAGGCTCAGGCAATCCTCTTGTCTCAGTCTCCCAAAGTGCTGGGATTATAGGCTGAGCCACCGAACCCCGCCCAAAATGTATTTCTTAAATAACAAGACTTGATTGTTGAAATTGCCCCTTGATCCACAGGCTGCAGAATGGATGTTGTGTTAGTAGGCAGAACAACATTATTCTCCTTGTACATCTCCATTAGAGCTCTTAAGTGACCAGGTACATTGTTAATGGGGAGTAATCTTTGAAAGGAATCTTTTTATTTTTCTTCTAAGCATTATGTTTTAATAGTGTGCTTTAAATATTCAGCAACCATTCTGTAAAAACATGTGCTATTATCCATGCTTTCTTGTTCCACCTGTTGCACAGGCAGAGTAGATTCGATATAATTCTTAAAGGCCCTAGAATTCTTGGAATAGTAAAAGAACATTGACTTCAACTAAAGTCACCAGCTGCATTGCACTGTAGCAAGAGAGTAGACTGCTCTTGGAATCTTTGAAGTCAGGCATTGACTTCTCCTATCTAGCTATGAAAGTCCTCAATGTCATTGCCTTTCAATAGAAGGCTGTTTTTGTTTACATTAAAAATCTGTTGCTTAGTGTAGCCACCTTCATCAATGATCTTAGTGAGATCTTCTGGTTAACCTGTTGTACCTTCTACAGCAGCACTTGCTACTTTATTTTGCACTTTTATGCTAGAATTAGGAAAGAATTTGGTTCTTTCCTTCAGTCTCATGGACCAACCTCTGCTAGCTTCTAACTTTTCTTCTGCAGCTTCCTCACTTCACTCAGGCTTCACAGAACTGAAGAGAGCTAAGGCCTTGTTCAGATTAGCCTTTGGCTTAAGGGAACGTTGTGACAGGTTGGATCTTCTACATAGACCACTAAAACTTTTTCTATATCAGCAATAAGACTGTTTTGCTTTCTTATTATTTGTATGGTCACTGGAGCAGCACTTTTAATTTCTTCAAGAACTTTTCATTTGTTAACTTGGTTAATTATTTGGTGCAAGAGGTTTATCCTGGCTTTCAACATGCCTTCTTCACTAAGCTTAATCATTGATAGCTTTTGATTTAAAGTAAGAAACATGCAATTCCTTTTACTTGAAACTTTGAGGCCATTGTAGGTTATTAATTGACCTAATCTTAATATTGTGTCTCAAGGAATAGGAAGAGAAGTAGATTTGATAGAGCAGAGAGAACACACACTTTGATCAATTTTTCACCTTTTTGTATGGATACGGTTCATAGTGTCCCAAAACAATTACAATAGTAATATAGGTCAACAAAACAAATATAATAGTAATAAGTAAAATTTCAAAGTTTGTGATATTGTGAGAATTACCAAAATGTGATACAGACACGCAAAGTAAGAACTTGCTATTGCAAAATCATGCAGGTAGACTTGCTCAACACAGGGTTGCCACAAACCTTCAATTTGTAAAATAAATAAATAAATAAATGCAATATTTGAGAAGTGCAGTTAAAGCACAATAAAATTAAGTATGCCTATATTTGGGTGGGATCTAAAGTTAAGTTTTGTAAAAAAGAATGTAGTGAAAAATAAGGACTATTGTGGGTACGCATTCAGAAAATTAGGATGGATCAAAAATTAGGAAGATAAAGTAAATTATGACTCAGCAATTTTAGTACTAGGTACATAGTCAAAAATTTTAAGACATATGTTCCCACAAAAATTTGTACATGAATGTTCACAGCAACATTATTCATAATAGCCAGAAAGTGAAAACAATCTAAATGATGTACATTTGTCAGTGAGTGATAACTGATAAAAGGATAAATAAAATATATTATATCCACATAGTGAAGAATTACTTGGCAATAAAGGCAAATGAAGCATAGATACATGCTACAACATGGATGCAATGGCAACCTTGTGAAAGAAGACAGACACAAAAAAATCACTTATAGTATTATATTCTACCTTGTGAATTGTCCAGAAGAGGTCAATTTTCAGATACAAACAGTAAATTATTGTTTGTCAGGCTGGGTGATGGGAGCAATAGAAACTGAATGTTAATGGTTACTTAATTACGGTTAATGAGTATGGGACTTCTTTTTGAGGTGACAAAAGTTCTAAGATTAGGTAATGATGATGGTTGTGTAACTTTGTGAATACAGTAAAACCCACTGAATTGTACATTTTAAGACAGTGATTTTTATGGTATATAAATTATACCTCAAAAAATCATTATGAAGTGCACTAAAAAATTGAATCATGTAATATGTGAAAATTGTCCTGAGAACTGGAAAAAAGTTTAGTAAAATGAAAGTGAACCAATACCAACTACCTTTTGAGTTTTACTTTGGCTCATTATAACGGAATCGCTTTTGGCCTAAGAATAATTCAGGAGATGCTAAGGTTTAGTTGTAGTACTTAAAGGCCAAGCTTGGTAGAGTTTATAAAAGTTTGATCATAAACCATGTGGTCTGATTCCAGAAGTTAGCAATCTTTTCGAATTTTTCCTAAATATATCAGTCTGAGAAATAAGGCAGTGAGTGCAGTTGCTGCTTGTGCTTTGGAGATTGCTCAATACTTTTGGAAATTACAAAGGTGAGGAAAGCGATTACTTGCCTCAATAAAATTTCACTGTAGACATACCTGGCTCTTGAAGGCAAGAGAGCTTGAAAAACTGGTGCTTTTGCATATTCTACATTCAACTGGAAGGCATCACCTTTTTCAAGAGTTACTGGACAGAAATCCAGGTAAATGGATGTCATAAACTCAGATGTCCACTACCAGTTCCACTCTTCCAATATCCCTATTCTCATTCTCCCACCCCGCTTCATGAACATGCTTATCATTGCTCCTAAATGACAAAAGTATAAAAAATCGCAGAGGTGGGGTGTGTGTGTGTGTGTGTGTGTGTGTGTGTGTGTGTGTGTGTGTGTGTGATAACTGTTAGTGGTACCATACGTAGGCAATACTTCTCTGATCAGTTTCTTTTTTTTTTTTTTTTTGAGTTGGAGTCTCACTCCGTCGCCCAGACTGGAGTGCAGTGGCCGCTTTCGGCCACCGCAACCTCGACCCGCTGGGCTCCAGCGATCCTTCCGCCTCAGCCTTCCGAGTAGCCGGAATTACAGGCATGCGCTACCATGCTCGGCTGATTTTTTTATTTATTGTAGAGATGAGGTCTCGCTGCCCAGGCGGGTCTCGAACCTGCGGGTTCAGGCAATCCACTCACCTCAGCCTCCCAAAGGCGCGGGATTACAGGCTGAGCCACCGAGCCCGGCTCTCTGATCAGTTTCAATCGAAGAAAAACACTAAGCACCTATTTAATGTCATTCATAGTCTTTGAAATATAAGTTGAAGAGACCCTGATCATATTTTGTTATAATCTTCTGGTGTGGAGAAGTAAAACCTCCTTTAATTTCCTAGTTTTATAGCTTTCAATAAGAGCAGCTCTCATTTGCATCTGAGTTTGCTTGGAAATTATAGTGAAACAAGTCTAGTGACAAGATTTCTGAATGACAGGGCCATAGTGGGCAATACCACTAAAAACGGAACCTCACACTTCTCCAACACATCCAGAGATGATGCAATGATGGGGCAGAATGTATCTATGACTACAGCTTCTTTCCCCTTCCCTTAGTCTGCTGAATTGTTAAATAGGCCATAGGCATCCAGTCTATATTCAGCACTTGAAAGAGAGTGAGTTCCCTGCCATGGTGGGGGGGGGGGGGGCGGGGAGGGTTCGCCCTGTGAGACTGAGGGACTGGGAGGTCATCTTTCCTGATCTGGGGGTTGGGGTTGGACACCAGATGCTGGCAGCAGGTGCCAGCAGAGATTAATCTGCTGG